ATTTCCTGTGCATGGGTGTTACCTTCTAGGTTAATTCTTTTTGATCTAACCTTTTCTCTAGTACCTGTTCCCCTTTTCCTATTGGCCTCAGTTTCTCAGCCTGCTTTTTATTGGTATATAGAAGCTACTAATTTTTTGTACACTAATTTTGCATATTCCTACTTTGTCAAAAATGTTTATCAGATCTAAAAATTTTTTGGTGGAGTCTTTAGGGTCTTTTAAGTATAGGACCATATATATCATCTACAAATAGGGATACTTTGCCGTCTTTCTTTCCTACTTCTATCCTTTTTATTTCTCTTGCTTAATTGCTCTAAGAATTCAAGCATCATATTGAATAAGAGTGGACACCCTTATTTCATTCCTGACTAGAGGAAATGGTTTTAGGTTTTCCCTGGTTTGTACAATGTTGTTTTATAGGTTTATAAATAAAGACTTTATTATTAGATACATTCCTTCTATTCCTAGTTTCTGAAGAACTTTTATCATGAAGGGATTTTAAATTATGTCAAAGGCCTTTTCTGTATCTATTGAGATGATCATGTGATTTCTCATTTACTCTGCTTATGTGCTATATTTATTGATCTACATATGTCCAACCATCCATACATCCCTAGAATGAAATGAAATTGAATATGATGTGTTTTAAAATACGTTGGTGAATTATTTCATTGAGAATTTTTGTGTCTATGTTCATCAAAGAAATTGGACTATAATTTTCTTTTTGTCATGTCTGTACCCACTTTTGGTATCGGGGTAATACTGGCTCTGTCGACGGAGTTTCACAGTGTTCCTCTTTTTCTGTTTTATGGAATGGTTTGAGGAGCACTGGTGTAAGTTCTTGCTTAAAGGTCTGGTAGAATATGGCAGTGACCCCATCCAGTCCTAGAAGCCTGTTACTGCTTCATCTCACTGTTCTTTATGGATCTGTATTAGTAGTTTATATCCTCTTGGTTCAATTTAGACAGGTCATATGCATCTAGAAATTTATCCATTCTTTCTACATTTTTGAATTTATTAAATATAAGCTTCTGAAGTATTTCCTAATGATCCTCTGATTTTCAATGGTTTTTCTCTCCATTTTCATTTCTATCAATTTGTGTCTTCTTGTTCTGTTTTGGTTACTTTGGCTAAGGGATTATCAATCTTATCTTTTCATTGAAATAATGAACTCTTTGTTTCACTGCTTCTATATATGTATGTATATTTTAGTCTCCCTTTCATTAATATATGCCCTGATCGTTATTATTTCCTCTAACTACTAATTCTGGTTTTGGCTTGTTCTTGTTTTTCTAAGGCTTGATGTATTAATTTGAGACCTCTCTAATTTCTTAGCATAGATGTTCAAGGCTATAAACTATCTTAGCACTGCCTTTACTGCATCCCAAAGGTTCTGGCAAGCTGTGTTTTCATCTTCATTTGATTTCTGGATTCCCCCCACCAACTTATTTCTTTAATAAACCACTGGTCATCTAACAGTGTGCTGTTCAGTCTCTATGCGTCTGAGTATTTTCTACAGTTTCTTTTGCTGTTGATTCCTAGTTTTATTTCATTGTGGTCTCTTCAAATATAGGAGGTTATTCAATTTTCTTTTATTAATTAAGACTTTCTTTATGTCCTAAGATATATTCAATTTTAGAAAAAGTTGCATGGGCACCCAAGAATGTATCTTCTATGGCTGTCAGGTGGAATATTCTGTAGCTGTTAAGCACATTTGCTCTTTAGTGTCATTTAATTCTGATGTTTCTTTATTCACTATTTCCCTCTAGATGACCTATCAATTTGAGAGTGGGTACTGAAATCACCCACTATTACTGTGTTGAGGTCTATCTGTGCTTTTATATCCAGTAGTGTTTACTTTATGAAACTAGGTGTGCTAATGTTCACTGTGTATATGTTTATTATATTCTCTTGATGGATTGTTCCCTTTATCAAAATTAAGTGACCTTCTTTGTCTCTTCTAACCAATTTTGGTTTGAAGTCTGCTTTGCTTTTGGGCTACATTTACTTAGAATATCTTTTCTCTATCCTTTTGCTTCGAGCCTGTTTGTCTTTGCCAGTAAGGCAAAACAAATGGTTGGGTCTGGTTTTTAAAGTCAACCTGCCAGTCTCTTTCTTTTGATTAGAGAAATGAAACTATTAACATTCAGATTATTGAAAGGTATTTAGTAATCCCTGTCATTTTCTTGTTCTTATGGTGTTTGATTCTTCCTTAGTCCTCATTTGATTATCTACTTGTCTCATGTGATTCATTTTCTTTCCTGTGTTTTCATGGGTGCATTTATCCTCTTCTGTGTGTAACATTCCTTTAAGTATCTTCTGCAGGAGTGGCTTAGAGGTCATGAATTCCTTCTGTTTTTGTTCATTATGAAAGGATTTTATTTTGCCTTCAATTATGAAGGACAGTTCTGTTGGATATATTAATCTATCTAGCTTGGCAGTTATTTTCCTTCAGGGTTTGAAATACATCATTCCATACCCTCCTTGCTTTTACAGTTTCTGTTGAGAAATGTGCTGTTATTCTGATGGGTTTGCTTTTTTTTTTGTGGGATTGGGATTTGAACTCAAGGCTTCTTGCTTGCAAAGCAAGCCACCCTAGTGCTATGCCACATCTCCAGTCTCTTTTGCTCGGGTCATTTTGGAGATGGGGTCTTGCTGTCCTCAAATCATGATCCTCTCCATCTCAGTCTCCTATGTAGCTAGGATTACAGGAGTAATCCAAGGGCACCTGGCTCTGATGAATTTGTTTTTATATGTGACTTGGCACTTCTCTTTTGCAGCTTCCAAAATTCATTCCTTGTTTTACATATTTAATGTCTTAAGTATGATATACCTTAGAGAGATTCTTTCTGGTTCTGTTTGGTATCCTAAAAGCCTCCTGGATGAGCACCTCTCTCACGATTTGGGAAATTTTCTGCTATTATTTTATCAAATACGTTTTCTATGTCTTTAGCTTGGATCTCTTCTCCTTATTCTATAGCCATGATTCACAGTGCCCTAGAGGCCTTGCATGCTTCCTTCTGTGCATTCTTATTTTTTTTAATTTTATCTGAATGTTCTAGTTTCTCTGTCTTTTCTTCAAGCCTTGATACTGTCTTCAAATTTGTTCCAGTATATTGGCAAGACTTTCACCTGAGTTTTTGTCTTATTGAGCTTTTAATTTCCAGGATTTCAATTAGACTTTTTTCAGGATTTCTGTATCTTTATTGAAATCCTCTTTCAGATCATGCACTGTCTTCCTTACTTCATTAAGCTGCTTACTTATATTCGCTCAGGTGTTTATTTGTATTTTCTTTACATTTGTGTTCAGATATGTACATATGCTCTAATTTCATTGGTCACTCTTATGATTCTTTTGAACTCTGTAATTCCAAACACTTCACTATCATTAATGCCCATTATACTAATGGAGTTGGTGACTTTCGGAGGGATCATAGTACCTTGCTTTTTCAAATTCTTAAGTGTTCTTACATTGTGATTTGTGCATCCTTAGAGAGGAAGGAGCAAACAGAAATAACAAAGTCAACAGTTCAAAAACAAACTTGGTATTTAAATGTGGCTAAAAAAATCAATTGTATGCATCAACTACTTCCCCAATAAGGTTATAAAGGAAAGGAACTAGAATATTTTTAGGATAATCTAGGAATTAAACAATTTTAAGGGTGTAGGCATTACTAGCTTAAGAAATATTTAAAAGGGGGAATGGGAGAAAGGGGAAGAGGCAAGATATGAATGAAGGGAAAAGTGTATGTTGTGAATCTATTACAAATATTTGTGAGGGAGAACACTGTAGAACATGTAGAGAGAAAAATAAAACAGGAAAGATAAGAGATGATTAAAAACTGCAAAGAAGAAAAAAAAATAAGGCAAAAAGAGTGGAAAAAAACAACAAAAATCCATAACAAAAAAGTATCAATATTTTTTTCATAGTTGGACAGGAGGGTGGCTTCCTCTCCCACCCCCAGCAGATTTTTGGAGTTTTTGTTTGTTTGTTTGTTTGGCTGGTTGATTGGCTGAAGACCAGCTGGGGTTGTCTGCTTTGAGGATGTAGCTTAGTGGCAGAGTGGCCATCTAGTGCCTATAAGGCTCTGAGCCCAGAGCCACAGCACAGGATGTAGACAGAAAGTGCTGTTTGCAAGTTACTACTCCCAGTTCACCTCAGGTTTGCTACCCACTAGTGTAAGCTCCACTCCTAGTCCCTACTCAACCTGTGGTGACTTTCTCATCAATTCACTGGTTGTTCCTCTCTCAGGCTCACAAGATTCCCACATGGGTAGCAGTGTGCCACGCTCTATATTTGTTGACATTCCTCATGCCCACATTGCTTAGGTTTGCACTAAGATTTCCACAAATCCAGCTCACACTCAGACATACTGAAGCTAGTGGCAAAGCGTGCCAGCCATCAAGGTTCTGGCTTTTGACACACAGGGTTCCTGCATGGGTCTTTCTTGGGATTTAGCAGTTGGCTCTCAGTGATCTGTGAGATGGTGGCAGGTTTTGTTTATTTTTTCCTTCTTTTATTTTTTGCTGGAGATCGAACCCAGGACCCTTGTGTATGCTAGGGAAACACTCTACCACTGAGCTACATCCCAGCCCATGGTGGCAGCTTTTCCTGGTTTAGCAGCTCAGAAACTTCCAAACCTCCCTGAGCAGCCATTTTCTTGCTGTTTTTGCTTCCCAGTTGCTGAGACTCCTCCCTGGGCATGCTGCTTGCTCCTAATCTGCCATCTGGGGACACTGGCATAGCTGTATAGGCTATGATAACTCTGACTTTTGACCTCGGAGTTCCTATGTGGGTCTCTTTCACAGTGCTCCTCAGCTGTTGGAAGGATCATGGCGGTATGTGCCAGCAGTTTCTCCCTTTGCATCCATTCAGTTCTGATTTGTAACTTCAAAACCTCTTGAGAACCTGCTTTCTAGGTATTTTTGTTTCTGAGTCTCAGAGAAACTAGAGTGGTGCATAATTCTATTCCACCATCTTAGAAACCTCCTCCTCAATAATTTTTAAGAGTATAAACGGGTCCAGGAGCTAAAACATTTGAGAACTGCTATCCTAGAGCAATGATCCATTAGAGGCACACGAAATGGGTAGCAATCAACATTGTTTAAAGTTGAAATGGACTAGAAAATATCAATGATATATATTGTAGTTAAGGTAAAGAATCAGAAAACCTCTGCTGTAGAGTACTCATATATACATAGACATACACATAATCTATAGATAGATACAGCTAGCTATATGAGAAGACATGGATGACACTGTTCATACCAGGAATATTTGAAGTAAAAACAAAACCCCACATTTCTATCACTATTCCTTTGTCAAGTCACATGTATTGTAAATATCTCCTCTTACTTGGTTTTATTTTATTGCGTTAATGTTTTATTGAAGTTGAATATATCAATCTTTTACTTTATGGTTTTTGTTTTGTATTATATATTAAAGAATTCTTTCTTTCCCCTTAATGTCATTATATTGTCTTTTAAAAGTTTCATAGTTTTAATTTTTACTTTTAAGCTTTTATTTCTCCTTTGAAACAGATCTTTCACATTGTCAGGTATAGATCCACCTTTACTGTTTCTTCCCAGAGGCCTCTTTCTGTTTTTCAGTACTGGGTTTGAATTTGGGTTTATAACTGGATTATACTTGCTAGGCAACTGCTCTACCACTTTCATCATGCTCCCAGCCCCTCCCACAGAATTTTGTAGGAGATCCTCCTTTCTCCACAGATCTGCAAAGCTGCTCATGTCAAAAGTCAACTTTCCATAGATAGATGGGTCTTTCTCTGGGTTATCTTTTCACAGTCTCTTTGTTCACTGCTGTGTTAGTATCATGCATGTTGTTTTAGTTACTACACCTTTAAGAAGTCTTGATACAAGGTAACGTAAGTTCCTGTATTTTGTGTTTTTTCTTTAAAAGTATCTTCTTTAAAAGGTCTTTTGTTATTTCATACAAATACTTAAGTGAGCTTGTCAGCCCGTGTTTAGAAATCTTGCTAGGTTTCTGATTTAAATTGTCTTGAATCATCAGTTCAGGGAGAGTTAATGTGTTAGGACACTGAGTTTTTCTGTGAATATGAAACAAGGCTCCACATTTTCAAGTTTAATGCCTTGCCACAAAATTCAACATTTTCCTTCATGAAGATCTTGTACACTTTTTGTTAACTTGTCTATGTACTTCATACTTCTTGTTTGTTTTAAGTTGTTTCCTTTTGTTGTTGCTATTGTTCTCTTTTTTTGAGAGAAGGCCTCATTATGTATCCTCTTGCCAGCCTTCTGAGTACTAGAATTACAGATGTACTCCACCATGCCTGTTTCTACTTATATCTTTTTTTAAAATTAACTAATTAATCTTTTTTTTTTAAATGGGTCTGGAGTTTGAGCTCAGGACTTCAACCTTGCAAAATAAGCACTCTACTATGTTGAGTCACACCTCCAGTCTATTTGCTCCAGTTATTTTGGAGATAGGGTCTCTCAGAAACTATTTGCCTAAGCTGGTCTTAAACCATGATCCTCTCTTACAGCCTCCCAAGCAGTTAGAATTACAGGTTTGAGGCACCAGTGGCAAACTATTTATTTATTTTTAAACACAGAGTCACTGTATGATTTTTTCTTTTTAAATCAAACCTTTTCTACATGGTTTATAGACATACAGTTGAGTTTTGGTTTTGGATTTTTTTAAGCAGTAACCTTGTTAAAGTCACTTATTTATTTTAATATTCAATATGTGAATAATAGAATTCAGTACGTGAATTCTGCATTTTCTATGCATG